GAGTAGGGGATTGTCTCCCGGTGTACTGTCCAATCACCACCAGAAGGACCCCACTGGAAATAAGTCTTCTTCTAGACTTTCGTGGGCTATCCTTGGTGTTTACACCGAATAAATCCAATCCAATCCAAGATAAAGAGAGAAAAAAAAATCTATTGATTCCCTTAGTGTTTTTCACATTCTCTCTTCTTAAAACTTGGATATTAGCTTGTATGTTAGTTTGAACATCTACAATAACACCTATAACCAGTAGAATAATGTAATGTTTTAATTTTCTTCAACAGATGATGATGATGATAGTTCAGCTAGAGCAAAATCAAAAACCATGTGGTACACAGCACCACCAATGTTAAATTCACATAGTGTCCACAGGTAATGTTATATCTATTATAAATCTATGTGTCTTTTGCCACTGGCTCAATCTAAAAACATTGTAAAAAATATAGGTATCTCTAGCAGGTAGATACCAAAGTTCTTATAAAAACAAGATAGCGCTCTCGAATTCTGCATGCAAATTCTGTAACAATGCAGTGTAGTGCACCCTCTTGCAATTATAGTTATTTTTTAACTTTGACATCTATGATTTTGGTGCAAGTTCTGTAAAACCATGGTAGCAACTAGGACACCCTCTCTAAATTACAGTTACATTCTGTGCAAATTGGACACTTCTATATTATAAAACTTTGGACAGTGCTATCTTGTTACAAGATCTTTGGTAGATACCTGCAACTTTACATGAGGGCAGTATAATTGCCAGATGAGAAAAAATAGTTTTAATATCACATGCCTGTATCTTTGTTAATGCCCATTAATGACTTAACCATAACACCAATGCATTGTCTCATAATCTAGGCATTAATACTAAAAGTGAAACCATTCCTTGGTCTTCTTCCAGATGTCACACCCATGTCCATTTTTTTTGCTCTTAGAATAGCATGGCGTACAATGAAACATACACTATTACATACCATATTTTTGCAAATATAATTATTCATCCAGTTTTTTGAGGCTTGTCTTTTTATTCAGACAAGTATCTGAATAACAGACTAACAGGATTGCCATTGATTTGTGTAATCTTTACTTTGTGCATTTTCCTCAAAACAATAAACTTTTGAACAAACTTATCAATGACAATGAAATGTAATCCAATTGTAAACTACAATCAGTAGGTTTTGATGACCATATTTTGTCTTTGTCTATTTTTTGTTTTCTATTACTTGATTTATTTTTCCTTGTATTTTTTCCTATTAGTGCTTAGAGGATAAGGTGTTTAAATATTCAAGTACAATATTATTTCCATATATTTATATTTAATTTTGTTCTAATTGCAGAGGCTGTTATTAAGAAATTAACATATTCATTAAATCAAAATCATGAGTTTGTCAGTTTATATCACCTTATGTATTGTACTGGGCAGCAATACATTTCTTTAATTTGCATTCACATTATTGGAGAAATGGAACATATATAGAAATTCATATGTTCATAATTTATTATGTATTCCTTAGTGAGGACGGTGATGATGATAATTCAAGTTTAATGTCTGGTTCTGCTGCCAATGGTATGACGTCAAGTGCAGAAGAAAGAGAGCCGTCCCCAACCCCAAGCAAGGTATCACTACTTAATGAGCAGATTCAGGACATGCAAACCAGTCAAAGGCACCTTCAGCAATTAATTGAGGATTTACGAGTAAGTCTACTGAAGAAGGAATTAGAGCGCTTTAGCCTGCTAAAATCAATATTTGTTTATAATACTAAAATGGAAGTGCACTTTTGCTTATTACCCAAACATAATGTGTTAAGTGTAACTTTTAATTCTTACCATTATTTAACATTTTAATATATATCTGTCTCTTATACACATCTGCATTTATATATACAATTACTGTATCACTTTTATTTCAGTCTACCATCTTTTTTATTTCCTCAGTGCTGTAGTTTCCAAGCCCAAAGAGCTTGCCAACAGAATAAGTAAGAAGCGATCGGGAAGTGTAGATAACATTGACATTATACGTAAGTTTCCTAATTACTGTATGTTTCTTTGTACTCTCACAACTACGTTTGTGATTTAAAGAGCAGCTTAGCTCAGTCGGCTAATCTGGTAGTAGCCACTGTGTGTGCGCTGAACCGTGGAGATCTCTAGGTCCCCGGTTCAATTCCCATCGCTGCCTCTCCTTGTGTTTCAGCTAGAGGGCTGAAATACAAGTTACATATAACTCGCCATAGACATTATACTTTAATTATATTATATATTTTTTAGGCCATTGTGGCCTAAATGTTATGCTATGTTTCTCTATTTCCTGTTTTTATTTTGAATTTTGGTCAATATGCTATCTGTTTCCTATACTGTCAGGATAATGTGGGAACGACTATTAATCTCCGTTCTCATTACAAACTGTTTATTATAATTATTGTATACCCGATTTTAATTACTCTCTTTATAATCCACATCTTTTAATGTGAAGTGTGTGCCCAAGTTAAGGACAATTGATACCATTGGTGTTAATGACATCAACACCTAAACTTTAATACCAATTAATATTGCAGATAGCACTAGACAACCAAATGCAGTTGATTTCTGACACAGTGCAAGAATCCCAGTTTAAATATGATGGCATTGACGAGCAACTTTACGACATAAACAATCTCCACCACAGAGAACTCATGGATCTACGCCAGGTCGTGAGATCCCTGGAAGAGAAGGTGGAATACCAAGCCTCGGAGAGGGCACGGGATTTTCAAGATGCAATTGGCCAGTGTCAAACAAGGGTGTGTATTACTACTATCAACTGTCCATTTAGTTTTTATATATAGCACCTCATGTAAGCAACCTTAAACAGCTTCCTTCTGTTTTCATCATTGGTCTCCTAAGCTCTGTCTAGATTATTAATTAGTTTTCTTTGACAAAAAACTGTTGTATGCCCATATATAGTCATGACCGTCAAGGCAAGCAAGGTATGCAGTGCATACTCTGGCTACAACAATTAAGAAAAAAGAAAATATAGTAGTACAGTTTTTTTTTATTTATCATTTCTTAGCCACAATCTTCTATATAAACCTTAATTTTTCGAGTGGATTGCTGTAGTTTATTGGAAAAGCAAAGTCTTTCAATGTTTGGCCTACTTTGGTAGCTAGGATAAGTCACATTCGGGTCTATCACATCTTACTCTCAGCTGCTTAGTATTTCCGCATTGTTGGTTTTAAATATCAACCAATCAAGTATTCAGTGAGTCAATGGAAGTCAGAGCATACCCTACAACACCAAAATTTGCTATTGTGACAACCGTGTAGTGGCGTCAAAATAGCCAATTTAACACGGGAATGGAAGCAGTGCTTCCAAGAGTATGTGCGCATGCTCTTCTTCTCACAAATCAGGACCTTCACTGCCGATCGGGTATTCTATCTATAGGCCTATGCCAAATCTCAATGATTAAAGTTTAAATAAATTTGCATGCAAATAACCGGTATAGAAGAAACTTTGAATTATTATATTATTTGAATTGAAATATGTTAAAATAGAGGAATAGGAATTATTTTGAAAAGAAGATACTACAACCATGCCGGTATTAAAAATAACATACATTTGTATTTTGGCTATAGCGCAATCTGATCCTGTATAGTAGTAGGCTTACAAACTTTTCCTACTTGCAGGCCCTAGCATCAGTGGCATAGGGGTCTTGAAATGGAAGGGAGGTGATGTGGTGGGAAGGTAAAGTGGGGATCGGTGATTAGGTGAGGGGGTTAACTCGCAAAATAATGTGATTTGAGGTGATTTTTAACTACTTGAGCATGATTTGTGGGCGGTGGATGGGCGAGTTTTTTTATCAGGGGGAGGGGCGTGCACGACCCTCACAACATCCTAGATATGCCAATACATAGCATACCCTTCAATTTACCCTACGGTCCGCTACTGGTCATGATGTGCCTATATATGGTCATGATGTGATGTCATCATGACCATATTTAGGCATGTCACATGTTTTTGTCAAATAAAATTTGATAATCTGGACAGAGCTTAATACTGTAGATTATTCTAATTAATCACAGTGTGAAAGCATGTCATGTTTTTATCAAATTCGAGAGAGTAGAATTATTCTTTTTTCTGTAAAAATAATGAATTACTTAAAAAATGTCCATGTTGATTAATTGATTGATAAGTTTATAGATTGATTTATTGGTTTATTAATTGATTGATTGATTGATTTGTGACTAGCCTCAGTTTTAGAGTAATAATAATTATATCATATCACATTTTGCAATCCTTATTATGAATTTGATTTTATTTAGTAATCATGAATTTATAAAATATATTGTTTCACAAATATCTGTTGTTGCAGATATCCAAGATGGAGCTGGCACAACAGCAGCAGCAAGTCATTACGCTGGAGGGTTATCAGTACAATGCTAACACTCGTGCCATCGTGTATAAGGTCACCAACTTTGTACTAGCCATCTTAGCTGTTGTTTTTCTCATCCTCTCAACATTAGCTGGCATAGTCGCACCATTCTTTAAAACTAGGTGAGAATTTACTTTTGAAAATTGTTTGTTTTAATTTTTCTTGTAGATACACGTTAAAGATATGCTGTCTGGGTCATATCTTGACAAACCCTTGAAAATTCAATTATCTACATAAATTGCTCATATACAGATTAAAGAGGCCTGTTTATTCTTGCAACGAAAGGATAAAATGCTAAAAAGCAATTGTTTGTATAGAAAATAAAAGAAATAAGAGAAGTTTTCACACTAGCACGATATCGATAATGACTTATCGCGTATACGATAAAAAGTATTTTCACAAATTAAAAATGACATCATAATGATGGGAAAACGATAAAATCGTTTTACTACTACAATTTTATCGCTTTTCCCGTGATTATGACGTCATTTGATTAGATACGTGAAAATATTTTTTATCATATACGTGATAAATCGTTATCGAATCGTGCTAGTGTGAAAACTTCTCTTATTTCTTTTATTTTCTATATGAACAATTGCTTTTTAGCTTTTTATGGTTATCGTTATCGTTGCTAGAGTAAACAGCATTAAGGATCAAATATTTAGTTACCAATTTCCAATGAAACATTTAAATTGATCAATAGTTATATATCGGTCGTCAATGAAATATAAGTATTATTATACATTGAATAATATATCTTGAACATTTTAATTTTCAATATATTTATTGTTGAACATTCCTAAATGTTACTGTCAAACACAATAGCCTGTCTGTCTATACTTATAGGATGTGTTTCTACTGATAAAAACAAAATAATCAATTTTTTTAAACCACTTTTTAAATGAGTGCCAAACAGCCTGCTCGCGTTGCAACTGCATTTTTGATTTCTCGAAAATCGGTTTTCGTGACGGAAATTACGTCTCCATTTTGTTTATAAAACATGTTGTTTTTTTAACTGTATAGGATAGTGTCTTTCTCATTCCTGTCATGATGACGGTGTGGGGCGAGAAGGCAAATGTTTTCGGCTGTGCTCATCAGCACAATGAACAAACGACCAAACTAGGACAACGGTAGGCCCAGAAGAGTGGAGAGGCCTAGGCCCAATATCCCCACAAAATAATTACAAAACGAATTCGTCGCTCCACATGTTTGTTGACGTTTTTAGTTTGTAGGCCTAGGACATGAACAAGAGGACAAATTTTTTTGAAAGTTCGCGCCTAATACGATCTAGTCTTTGCAGTGATTGACCTGGAAGTCACATTTAACCTGATAATCGCTTTTTTTGTGTTGCAGCTAAAAGGTGCACAGCCAAAATCGGTTATTTGCCTATCCATTGCGTGTTTTTAATCGCTTTTTTCAAACTGGTCCCGTTTCTACTGCGAGAATAAAAGCGATTTTTCGAAAAAGCGATTTTTTAATTGATTATTTCTTTCCAGTAGAAACAGGCCCTTAGTCTTGCATTATCCTATACTCAGATATTGAATTTCTTTTTGCTAGTTTAAGATAAACCTTTTTATTTTATTTTTCAGAACAAGAGCATTTCTGTCAATTATATTTGTTGCGTTAATTATCTATGCTTGGCAAAAACGTGAATTAATCGAGGAGGTAACTCATTATGGATTGGTACATTATAAACACTTGTTCCATGATCAAGAACCCCAAGTGACAAAACAGCAAACATAAAGCAAGAAGATCTTAGTACCACAATAAGTTAATACGTTTGCATTACCAACCATGTATTGGGAAGTTGCCATTGTCAGATGGAGATGTGTTTATACGGCTGTGCAATTTATTTACCATGTATTATCATTGCGATTGTTTTCAACATGAGATTATGAATGGTGCAATTGTCTTCAGCGCAGTGTTTTTAAGGACCATGTGTATTTTTATTGACCATGCAAGTGTTTTTGGACACTATATTGGCTATGCAAGTGTCTTGCAGGAAGTTTATAAGCCATAATGTCTTGAACCGTAAATCATACATGCATGAATGATGTTTATGGACCATGTGATTGCCTTGAATGATGTTTATGAGCCATACAATTATCTTCAATGGTCTTACTAGCCATGCAATTGTCTTGAATGATGTTCATAGGCCATGCAATTGTCTTCAACGGTCTTAAGGGCCATGTGGTTATCTTGAATGATGATTATGAGCCATTCAATTGTCTCCAATGATGTATGTGGACCTTGAGTCATTTTAAACAACATGTATATCAACAGTGTCATGTACTTAAACACAGAGTTTATTGGCCATGCGAATGTCCTGAGTGGTGTTTATGGGTCATGCGGTGCGGTGACTCATCTTTTTTTGGCCATGTGATAAACGATAGTGATTAAGCATTCCATTCAATCCCATTCTATTTTATGATATATGATTTTAAAATTTTGAAGGAAAAAAATTGCCACAAATAATAATACTGCCTGTGCTGGAAGTGTAATTGTAAGAACAAACTTGGCAAAGCATTGTAATAATATAATAATAATAATGATGATGATGATGATGTATTGCGTCTTTAAATATAGTGTACATATATTATTTGTATAATGTAAAGAATTCGCTATACTACTAACAATACATTTTTTTTTTACAAAGAAATTTAAAAAATACATCCCTAGTATTATTTGAATGTTTTACATTTGAGACCCTTTCTGCTCTATAAGGCTTGGGCTGTTGATTGTTGAAATCTTCAATTCTCTATTTAACCCTTTCCAGTCTGCCCCATTACCATTGCCTGAGGCTGTACCAAACCTGAGAAATTACATCATCTACACTAAATGTCGGTATTTTACTGGGCGAAGCATTTTATTTGGTCTGAATACAGGAGGCCCTCTACAGAAATACTCATAAATTCTATAGAGGGCAGCATAGCTATAAAAAAAATAGCATGAAAGCTATACAGGGCGTACGTACGACGCCCCTTGCTATAAAGTATGGTGAAAGGAATATACTATTAAGAATATACTATTATTACCATATTTATTATTACATTATTATTATCATTATTATTACATATTATAATTGCTAATATTGTTACACATTATTATTATTGTTATGATAATGTTGCTATATTAACTAATATTTATAATAAAATTAGGATAGATTAGACAATGTTAATGCAAGATTTCTAAATTGATTAATTTTATTTTTCTACAATTTAAGATAGTGTTTATTAATTATAAATTAATTCTAAATTAATTATAATAGTATGCATTACCATGCTCATTTCAGATTCAAAAAGCCTTGAATACTCAAAATAGAATTTGAAATTGATGAGTTCTTCATAAGCTGTTTAGTTTGATATCATTTTATTGTACAATTTCTGTAAATGCTCTTCTATATATTCATAGTTGTATAAGAATAATATTCCAAAATGTATTTTTGTTTCCCAAATGTTTAAAAATGATAACCTATAATCAATTTACCTATTGTAATGCAAATTCTTACTAAATTATATTTTTTTTCAAAAGTGTAGCATTTAACAATATTAAAAACCAATTGTTTAGATATTTTAGTTAAAACAAGTGGAAGAAATTGGTGCAGAGGTTGTGATTTGGTCTTCCAACTCAACGGTTGGGGTTTTATTCCCACTCAGGCTACTTGCGTTGTTTGGGAAAGGCACTTTCTATATTATCTCCGCACAGAGTATAAGTATGTATCTGGTAGGTTAGAATATGAACGCACTGAGTACTCGCTACCACATTTATGGGATGCTCGGCATGGAAAGTAATAGTGTGTTTTATAGTTGTTCTGATGGAACAGCTATGGTAATAATGTGAAGAGCCTGGACTGCTTGCCAATGTGAATCTCTTGAATTTGGATGTTGAGACTTATATGCAAGCAGGAGTTGCAACTTACTTTTGGTGTCTTGTTGAAAAATATTTATAGAGAGTGAAAATTTATAGTTTCTACAGTTTAGATTTTTCATTTTATTGTAATTTGCAAGATCTGCTTTCCTTTGCAAATTTGAGAACATGAAGCTGAATGTCTGTGCCTGATAATGTGTAGAACAAGAAGTATTTTTGTAGCCTTGATTATACCCATTGTGCAACGTAGATGATAGGGTCAAATCGATAATGACTTTTAGAAAAATTAATGCAATACATGTGAAACTGTTTTGACTGCATTGTGGTTGGTTGATGTTGACAAATGAGGGAGCTTTGTCTCTTGTGAGTTATGACATGCTGTGACGATATTTGAGTGTCAGATAACAAAAATTGTTATCAATGTTTTTTTAACATTTAAATTGCAATATGGAATTTGGACCTTTCCAAAGAGTCAATCAAGACAAACTAATTGACCAATGAAAATATGCTATTTAGTCGGCATATTTTCGGGAATTTGTGTACGTCCCACAAACAGTTGTAGCGTGTGAATTGCGTAATCTCAGCAGAGGTGTATCTAGGGGTGCGCGGGCGCGCACACCCCTCCAAAAGTTATTTGTCTCCCCCAGGCACCACCAAAAAATCATGGTCAAGTTGTTAAAAAGCACTAAAATCACCTTATTATGCGAGTAAGCACCCTCTCAACTGATCGTCGAGCCCCCACTTCACCATCTTCCTGCTTCCTCCCCCCCCCCATACCCCCACTACAATACTCCTAGATACGCCACTGCATCTCAGCACAGCTACTATTCAAAGTTACTTGGACCGATGGATGCTATTATAAATTTTGAAAATAATAGTGATATACATATCAGATTATTAATATAATGATGACAGGAATATATTATAAATGTATGCTCTTCTAATCTACTTTTATTAAATATTTTTATTCTATGTTTTTTTTTTATATGTATTAAATAGTTGTATTAAATATTTTGTTAAATATGATTTTCTGCAGTTTCAAAAGTTTTCAATAGTGGCCTACATGTGGGAATTACTGAAGAGATTTGATTCTTGTGTTTTGGTTACTCCAGTGTATGGTACATTGTCATTGGTGGCTCATAATTTTTTACCCATCCCTCTGCAGTGCTAAAGCTCCAAAGTGGAAGATGTGTCCCCATTTCATATATTAAGAACCCTCATTTTAGCATTTGTATGCTTGCAATTAGAATTCAGTGAACTTGCTTTACTTCAGCACAAATTTGCGCAAGTGTCACTGAAAATTGCCAGTGAATGTATTTTCTCATGATAAAACTCTTTTAATGTTCAGCTTCAGATATTATGTTATATTTTAGTATTATTATATTTAATCGAAAATATTAATTGTTATAATTATTTATTGATGTAGTTTTATAAATTTATTAACCCGAATCGTGTAAAAATGAGAGAGCTATAAAATGAGCATTGGTAGAAATATATGATAGCTTACATTCCATTAATATGCCTATTAGAATAAAACACCCGTGAGTGATATTAATAACTCTACTAGTTTTGTTTTGGTTTTTTTGTTTTGCCTTGTTATTGACTTGAAATATAATGATGTTGAAATATTCATGGAGGTTATGACGATGTTGCTGCTGTTGATGATGATTGTTGATGATGATGATGATGATGATTAGAATGTTCATGATGATACTATTGCAATGGTGATGGTTGTGATGATAATGACGATGTTGCTGATGATGATGACAGTGTTCATGATGATAATATGGCAATGGTGATGGTGGTAGTGGTGGTGGTGGTGATGATGATGATGATGATGATGGTGGTGGTGGTAAATGACGATGGTGGTGATAATGATGTTGATGACAGCAATGGTAAAGATGGTGGTGGATGTGGGTTGATTATGATGTTGATAATTTTTATCATTTATAGTAAATTTTCAAAGCGTCAGATTATGATCCTGGAATACTCAAATTCACTTTTGTTGTTTCTAGTCCTGTGTGATTTTTAATGAAGTGGCAGGGGCGCCCCCCCCCCCCCTTTTTGGAAACAGGGGCGCCCCCCCCCCCCTTTTTGGAAAGTTGAAAATAATGATAATAATAATAATGATAATAATAATAATAATTAATAAATTTTAAAAAATAATAATAATAATAGTAATAATCCATCGACCCCCTCCCCCTTCGGACATATCTGGATCCGCACCTGAGTGGTGTGTAGACAGTATGTTTTATTCATTCAAAACTCAAAAAATGTCTCGCTTTCTGACAATTTGTAATCTTACCAAGTTTAGCAATAAAGGTGCATAGACCTTTTAATACACACAAATTGAGTATACTATAATATTATTGATACTTGGTGTATAAAAACCGAATTTTATCCCCCCCCCACCCCAAAAAATGTCTAATGTACCTAAGAACTCATATCTATGATGATGACCCATTTTGTTTTATTGAATGGTGAAAATATTCCCTAGCAATGTGTGTCGACTTCGTATTACAGAGTGGCTGAAATGAATCTCGAGACCATATCAAAGCCGCGGGATTTCTAATGTACAGATATATTTATTGTCTAACACCAATTATAATGAATAGGTTAATAAAGTTCGTTTTGTGAATAAGCCTAATTAGTTGCACAAAGATGTCATGCGTTTTAATCGCACAGTACCTATAACGTAATCGATTATTAGAAGCCCTACCATGATATTTTGAACTTATTTGTCCGCTACCAACCACTTAACCTGAAGACACATTCACACTAAATTCAGTCAGGAGATTAAATTCCCGTTGATTGATATCTGAAAGTGTTAGAGACATTTTCGCAGGTACCCGTTCGAGTATCAGTGAACGTTTAAAAGACATGAAACTGTTCGAAATATTTCAGAAGTAATCGTATCTCCAGCTCTGAAGAACACATCTCTGCGTCCTCCCAATTCGAGTCTATACCATGGCGAATTTTAGTGGTAAATATGTTGTGCAGAATAAGGAAAACGTTGGTGCCTTTTTAACTGCTATTGGTAAGTCATTCAAAAAGTGTACTTCTGCAGAAACTAATATAGATTAAGGTTAGACTTTCAACTATTCTCTTAAATAAGGAAAAAATTACAGGCTCTTTGCCTATCTGCCTCCTCCGTTAGTTATGTTCGAGAAAATTAATTCTGGTCACATTCGCTTACTCCTACAAAAACCGAAATAACTTTCTACTGAATTAGCAAACATCCTTTCTAATACCATGGAGGTATACAATAAATATATGTTATTCTTATATATCCATGCTAATACCTTAGCCTGTAGCAAAATTCGTTTTTCCTTCCTTACTTCATCGGTTACAAAAAACAAAGATAGAACATCATATCATCATCAACGTAATTATAATTGTGGCCGACGCAGCTGTTTTTATCCGCTTCTTCCCCGTGATATGACATGAACGTCTTCCTAAAACATTCAACTACATTGGTATAACAGTAACTTACTTTGGCAAAGGCCTTTTAAGTCTATAGCAAACGCTAATGGAAAATATGTCTTCGATCATTATAAGTTAGCGCATTAAAATATTTGTTCAGGCCGACTGTTATTAGGCTGTATGCTTATTGTTGATTATTGGTTGGTTTTATTTTAAATATTATGATGCCATGAAATCTGATTGTCTGCATGTCAAGTACATAAATCCTGTTTCTATAAACACTATTGCCGACAGCTTTCGACGGCGACTCTGATTTGTTCGGACAAATCATGAAGCCATCCTAATTGTGTCAGGGTAGCTACGCAGTAAACAACTTCAGTGATTGTGTAACCTCTTCCTCCTGGTATAACCACGGGTGTAACGATGTAGCGGCAGTTTGGCGCAGCGAGTTTCGGACTTTCAATCGTAAGGTCGGGGTTTCGAGTCTCGCTGTGCAGATTCGCTTGTGTCCTTGGGCAAGGCACTTTAGCTACATTGCTTCAGTCCACCCAGCTGTATCAATGGGTACCAGCAAACTGCTGGGGACTAACCTGCGACGGAATAGAGTGTCCCGTCCAGGGGAAGTAACGATTTAATAGAAAATAAAACCACAAATCACAGTTTCTAAAAGAAATCAACCAGCAACATCCGGGTTGCCAAGTTGCCCATACTGTTTCACGATTGGTTGCTCATGGTTTTATTGCCATATTATGTTATTGTAAATGTTTGCAACAATACAATTTTAAGACAATGCTAGTGATTATGATGCACTTTGCTTACCTTATCTCCAATAGGTGTTGGTCAGGCTGCTCAAATGATGGGGGGAATGATGAAACAGCAGCTGACAATTGAACACGAAGGGAATGGGGTTTCGTTTACTACAGTTGTTGGGACTTTCAGCCTTGGTACAAGAGAGTTTACCTTAGGAGAAACAAAAGATGAAACACTCAAACATTCAAATCTTGAAGCTAAAGTAAGAAGACATTATCAATAAAAGCATTTATTGTGAACTCGTC